TGAATCATCCTTTCTGCACTAAAACAACACTTTCTTAAATATAGTAAATTCCTATACAAAGTGCAGATCTGTTTTTGGACTCGGCATTTTGTTCTATCTACCATCTCTGGAGGAAAAGGAACTCGATCTCTTGGGTGTATGTAGTGAGAATCTGCCAGTGGTTTTCCATTTAATTTACAACAACGACAAAACATTGCACAACATTTTAAAGCGTATGTGTGAACCTAGAACTCTGTAAAAGCGCACTCCATGTATGAGGTTGTCAGCACAGAGCCCGCGGCCAGGGCCAGCTCGGGGGCCTCCATTCACGGGGACACGGGTGCAGACACACACAGGAACCCACGCACACATAACTCAGCCCAACACACAGATCCAGGGAATAGGCGTGGAGGTGCCGGAGTGAGGCGAGCGCCAAAGGAGGAGAAAGAAACCCCAACCACAAGTCCTGGACTGCGGCCACGACCGGGAACCTCCGCCTCAACCGCCGCAGAACCAACGGCGGGGGCAGGGCGTAGAGGGCGCAAGGCACGCGTGAGGGCGTAGGGCGTGGCTGGAGGGCGTGGGGCGTGGCTAGAGGGCGTGGGGCGCGGCTAGAGGACGTGGGGCGTGGCTGTAGGGCGCGGGGCGGGGCCAGGGCGCAGACCTCGGCGGAGGGGCGCGGGGCGTGGCCGGAGGCGTGGGGCGAGGCTTGAGGGCGCGGGGGCGTGACTTGAGAGTGGGGGCGGGGAGCGAGGAAAACAAACGTCCGGAAGATGGTGGGAAAGCCGACTATGCTGGGTTGCTGAAGAGGACAGAAGAGGCGGGCAGCTGGGCCGCCCAGTGCACATCTTCTTACTTTGGTTGATCTTTGAGAGCAGCGAAGTAGAAAACAGAGAAGGCTGACTGTAGCATGATAGGAAATGAACACTTAGAAATGGAAGCAGGATAGATTTTAAGCCGGTAAATTCTGGAAGGGGAAAAAGAAGAGAAAAACTAGCAAACGAAAGGGTATCTATACATATTTGAACACATGCGGAAAAATCTCAGTGAAGGAAATGAATTTAAAGTTCTCCAGAAAAGACAAATGTTAGAAGTTTCCATAAGTTGTTGTAGAATGTGCTTGGCATGTTAAAGGAATCAGGACATGTATTTCTCTGGGAGAAGAAAGGCAGGATAGATAAAAAGATTTGTTTGGGAGTGGTCAGGGGGCTCTGACTGCCAGAGATTTTTTTCGGGTAGGTGATCCTGTGGGGGCGCTGAGAGTGTGGTTTTAGGACATCAGCAGAAATGACAAGCAGCGACTGTTTCCTCCAACTCCCTTATCAGGCCCCTGCCCAGTCAGAAACAACTAGTCTGGTTTAGACCCTACGGCTCTGCTGCCCCTCCGCTGACTGCCCTCACGGCTCCCGAAGCAGCTCCAACTTCCTCCGCCTGTGAGACTGAGGCTCCCCGTTTAGAAGAGGAGCTGGATTCAGTGAGAAAGGTCCACTTAGAATTTCACACAAAAGGCTTCTCCTTGTTTTCTTTTCTTTTTTTTTTTTAAGTTTTTTGTTTTTTTCTTTTAAAGATTTTATTTATTTGACAGAGAGAGAGATAGCGAGAGCAGGAACACAAGCAGGGGGAGCGGGAGAGGGAGAAGCAGGCTTCCCGCCGAGCAGGGAGCCCGATGTGGGACTCGATCCCAGGGCCCTGGGATCACGACCTGAGCCGAAGGCAGACGCCCAACGACTGAGCCACCCAGGCGCCCTTTCTCCTTGTTTTCAAATATATTCACGCAACGGAGTCAGGCATTAAGGTATAGTAGGGTTGCAGAGATTTTGAAAATGCGCACAAAAGATAACCAACAGGAGCTACTCCCAGAGTCCTCCCTTCTCCGCAAGAGACTCGAAGCAATTCGTTCGTGTTACCGGTCACTACGGATAGCGGAGCCCCTCCAGCTGTTTGCTCTGCCAGATGGAAGGATTTCCTCTGCAAGGGTTAACTGCCTACAGCTTCTCTCACCCCTTTCTAAAGTACACAGATCTCTGCTTGGGTAAAGTGATGACACAAGCTAATGTTTGGGGGATGAAACAATCAAGCTTCAATTTCATTACAAGCTTTGTTTTCTGTTTTGCTCAAGGAGCAACGTGAAGAACTCTTTCAGGAAACACTGGTGGCTTGGCGTATGTGTGCTGGGATGCACTTTTGCTTTTCTACTTCCCAAGAGACACCACTTCTCTTCCAATATGGGTAAGGGCTGTGGCTGTCTTCCCCAGAAATGTCTCACCACAGCCCACCTAAACGTGGGGATGGAGCCTCAGCGTCAGTGGGGGTAGAGAGCATGAAGGCTGCAGGCCTCGTTCCAGGCACACTACTCTACACGAAGGTCAGAAGGAAAACAAAACCAAGTTGTGCCATTTTTCCTTCCCCTTTTCATCCACCCGGCGGTCATTCCTCCTCCTCTGATTCTTTTCTCACAATAAAAAAAAGCCACTTAAAACCGGGAGACCTATTCTGGTTGGCTGAACAAACATGAGCGGAAGTAAACTTGATAATGGGAGGAAAACCGGCACCACCATTCTGACCCCACCTCCCGGGCCCCGACCCCAACAGATAAGGTGGGAAGCGGCAGAACCGCTGCCCCATGTGGCTTCCACGAGAACTGCGAATTCACAATTTTTCTTGATTTTGAGGATGAAGGTTACTCACACAAAAGATGTTTTTGTTGTTACTGAATTTTAACCCCAAATATGGCCAGTTTAGGCTTTTACTCTCTCCTGTGCTATTTAGGTGATGCAGTGGGGAGGCTCCAAAAAGATCCAATATCCACAGCAGAGCACACACAATATTCCTTCCAGGTTTCCGTTCACTTCTCTGCATTAGCATCAAAAACTCCTGGAATTCTAGGCTATCACCTCTACTAGGCCTAAGTATGAATATCCATGAATATCCACTTGATTCTTTCGCTTTGTCTTACTGAGGTGTAACTGACAAGACTGGAAGGCAGAGTGTACAGCATAAATGATTTATGTGTGTACTGGGAAAGGGTCCTCAACATCTGCTTTATTCTCTCACAAGTGTAGGGGAAATGCTTGTTCTTAGTAGACTGGAGACAAAAATGGAGCTTTTCAGAATAAATGTTTATTTAAGAATTAAGGGAAAACAAAAACATTAAAGCATAGGAATACATTGACTGAATACAAGTGTCTCGTTTGGTCTGAAATCTTGAAAAAGTTACTCTAACTACTTACCTGAGGTAGATTTAGGTTGGCACTGTCTCAAGAGAACCTCCATCCATCCCAGAAGTTACCTTCTAGTTTTGGTTACAGGCTCCCAAGTGGTCCTCTCCAACCTCAGGTTATGCTCTATGAATAACACCAACACCTTTTTTCCCCACGGTTAAAAGCCCTCACACTCAGATCTGTCTCATACCCCAACTGTTCTCCATTTGAAGGATGGTCCATCCTTAATTTACTTAAAGACTAGAGAGAATTACCAGTAAGATTAGTTGAAAGAGGGGGCAAGTCACTGCCCTGCCAACGATATAAACCCTGTCCCTTTCTCCAAGTTCTAATGACTAATAAGTAGCCACAAGGACTAACTTTCATCACCACCATGCCATACACCCAATACTATTTTAAGTATTACAACCGTCAAACGTATACTAGTGATAGGCATGATCTGCACCAAAGAGAAACAAATACATCTTGCGTGTTTTATCACACTGGGCAACTTTTCATGGTATGAGAGCTATTTATGAAAATTACTAAAACACAACAGATCAAATAAACTTCCAGCATTTGTTTTCTAAAAAAAAAAAAAAAAAGACCAAGAAAACCCCACCCTAGAACCAGATTCCTTATTATCACTATAAGCTAGATCCACTGGGACCCTAAGATGATCAGGCTCATCAACCAGCCATTAGGATCAAAGCTGAGAGCCGCACACAAGGTCGCAGCTGGCCACCTCCGTAAGTCTGAATGCCAGCACTCTCTGGAGTTCAGGGATTTGTTAAATAAACCAGAGAACCCAGAGTAGCAACAAAATATTTACTCACCAGTCTATAGTCCCACATGCTGTAGGAATCTTAAGTACTTATATTAAATGTCTTTTAATCTGAGGGAAGGAAAAAACCCTCAGAATTGTCCATTTATAATCCCTGGATTAATTATAGTATTTCTAGAGAACGTTAGAGATGATTGTTAATTATCCTGTTAAGTTGGAGATAAGTGCTTATCCTTAAATCTCTGATGAATCTGCCAACTACTTTTCCCTTCTAGCATTCAGAATCCTACATTCCAAGCCACACAGATACCTTATGTTGTGGTGACTGCAATCCTTTCCCTGGGAATAAAAAGTATTCTCTTTCCTTGGCAGAACTGAAATAAATGAAAGGCATATCATTATGGGGCTTGATTTGCTATAAACAGCAGGATAATAGAGTGAAAAGAACACCAGCTTTGGAGTCTGGGATACTCAAAATCACAAAGTTTTAGCTCCTTCATTATCGATTCATCAAATAAGTGTTTTACTCTGTGCCTACTCAGACTTAAACCTTTCTTTTGGTTTCCCTTTAATCATTTTGCAAGGAGCTGAAGAGCATTTTATCAATGAAAGAGGCGAGTTAAAGTCATAAAAATACAGATGCTAGAGACATCATGACATGACTATTATACTGAAATTTGCATTTCAGTTTAAAAGAAATAAGTCTCTAAAGCTGAAATTTCAAAAACCAGTGATCATCTCAAAGATGTTTGAGGGAAAGGAAACTTTTGAGGGGAATGCCTTAACTCATGCTAAGTAAAAAAGCTGAGTATTCTGCCTCTTTATGAGGCTGGCCCTCCAAAGGGAGAACTTTTGGGAGAGTTTTGATCCAGGGGAACTACTCCCTAGCTGCTCAGTTCTTTTCACTATCAGCAAAAGGTTCCCAGGCTACTGTCAACACACTAGTCCCCATTCTAGCCAAGAATAAAAAAATCAACAGAGGCCAAGTCAACATAATCCTTTCCCCCACAGGGAACACATGCCACACCTTCTATCACAAGGTTACAGTCCCTTCCTTTATTGGATTTCCAAATTTTAAAAAGCGAAAAGTAAAGCAATCATTAAGTGGTTCAGATAAAAGAAAGGCATCTTTACCTGAGTTACCCATCAGGCCTACTGTGACCTGCTCTAGCTCCTCCCAGAACAAGCTTCCGGGTATCTAAACAACCGTTTACATATTGACTCCATTAAAAGTCATCTCTACTGTATGGGTCAACTATTACCTATTATATGTACACAGCCCACAATTAGATCTCTCACTGGCCAAAATTCTCCAGAGAGTACGTTCTTTGGGACCCAATAAGGTAGGAGTTTCTAGCAAGGCTTTTCTCAGACTCAAGGGGGGTTTTCCACTAATGTGAGTTTCCTGGTGTACCATGAGAGCTGATCATTGACAGAAGTTTTTCTCACTCAGAGACTTTGTAAGGTCTTTCCTCAGATTGGGTTTCTTTGGTGCAAACCCAAGAAGCCTCTTCTAACTCATGTTTTTGCCACATTCAAGACAAATATACATATTTTCACCAGTATGGCTTCTCTGAAGAGTAAGAAAGTCATAGTTCTGTTAGAAGCTTTTTACACACTTGCTGGGGTTTCTCCCCATTGTGGGCTTTCTGACGTCCAATGTGACGTGCATACTGTCTGAAGCTTTGTTGACACTGAGGGCATTTAAAAAGTCCTCCGGTGTGAATTCTCTTGGGATGAGGAGGGGTGAGCACTGCTAGAAAGCTCTCTCACACTCACTGCATTTGTAAGGTTTCCTACCTGTAGGAATCCCCTTGTGGGTGATCAGATATGAGCGTGGACTAAAGGTTTTCCCCAAACTCAGGGCATTTGTAAGGTTTCTCATTGGAGTGACTGATAAAGTGTTCTGTTAGGGTAGCTCTCTGGGCAAACCATTTCTCAACTTCCCACAGCTGCATTCTCTGGTCCCCACTGAAGTCTGAGCTCTGAGGAAAGTCTGAGATTTGCCTAGAGTTCTTTACTGAGTTCTCTGACATGTAAATACATTTTTTCATGGTATTATAACTTCTTGTCGGATCAAGACATTTGTGAGGCTTCTGATGCTTGGGGAGGACTGAGCTCAAGACCTTTCTCGCCCATATTACAGATATATGGTTTTTCACCGATATGGATTGTCTGATGTTGAAGTAGGGCTGAGCTCTGGTGGAAGCTCTTATCACATACACTGTATTTATAACGCAGCTCCTCGGTCTGTGTTCTCATTTTCTGTTGGGCAACAAAGTCCATGCCCAGGAGGAAGCCGCTCTCACATGTAGACCACTGATGTGGTTTCTCTTCCATGTGAATTCTTTGATGCACAATGAGGTCTGAGCTACAGCTGAAACTTTTCTCATATTCAAGGCATTTAAAAGTGTGAGTGTGAGTTGCCTGATGCCTGATTAGGTTGGCACTCCGAGTAAAACTTCTCATGCATTCCAAGCACTTATACGGCTTCTCACCTGTATGGACTCTCTGGTGTACAATAAGGTCGGATTTCTGGCCAAAGCATTTCTCACAGGCACCACATTTATAGGGCTTCTCCCCAGTATGAACTCTTTTATGAACAATGAAGGCTGAACGGTGTCGGTAACTTTTCTCACATTTATTACATTTGTAGGGCCTTTCACCAGTATGAGTTCTCTGGTGGCTAATAAGATCTGATTTCCCACTAAAAGCTTTTTCACACTCCAGACACTTAAATGGTTTCTCACCTGTGTGAGTTCTTCGGTGCCTTATGAGGTTTGTGCTTCGACTGAAGCATTTATCACACTCACTACACAGATACGGTTTCTCGCCTGTATGGCTTCGCTGGTGGACAAGCAGATCAGAGCTCTGACCGAAATTCTTGCCACAAATATCGCATGTATAGAATTTTTTACCTGCATGTGTTCTCTGGTGTCCCGAAAGGGCCAGGTGGTGCCAAAAGCTCTTCTCACATTTGCTACATTTATAAGGTTTCTCATAATTGTGGATCCTCTGGTGTGAAATAAGATCTGAGCTTTGGACGAAGGTTTTCTCACACATATCACATCTATAAGGTTTCTCCCCAGGATGGGATCTCTCACACATAATAAGAGCTAAGTTTTCACAGAAGTTTTGCTCACATTCAAGGCACTGGTATATCTGATCATCTATTTGAGTAATCTCATGCACATGAATAAAAATCTTTTTACCCTTCTGAGGGCATACATGATAGATTTTCCTTTTCTGAGTTCTCTGATTATATCTCTCTTCTGAAGTGTACATTTTCTATGGCTCTCTCCTAGGGAGTTTTCCACTGGTCCTCTTGACCCATCATGTTCTTCATAGTCATTTTCTTGGTAAGAACTTGAAAGATACATCTGTCGTAGGCCTTTCAGTCATGAGCAGCTCGTCTCTACACGTTTCCAGCATCATATACACGAATTCCTTACTTGGTATTTCCAACCCTGTAAGACAAAGAAGAAGTATTATTTATATTCCTGTAACTAAGAAAAGAATGCTCAAAGTTAAAATTACTGCAGGGAAGACAGAAATTCTCCATCAGAGTCCATTAAGTGCTGTAGTTTTTAAAGGGGTTGAAGCCAGTTGGTTTTCCTCTTTTCTAATACAAAACTAGTCAGCAGGAAAAGACCTGGAAAAGTTATTTCTTTTATGAGCCCGGGTGATCTCAAAACCAGGGTTCTTCCCCTTTCCCTGGCTTCAACTGAGTAATCAGGACAGGCCTCGTAGTTAGTATGCTTGCTCAAGAGAAAACAACCCCAAAAGGACTGTGAACATCTATGCAGTCCTCTCCGCCGGAAGGTTTGGAAAGAAATGGTAATGATCATTAGAATTCCCAAGGCACTGGGAGAGAGAAGGGTTTCTGTGGCTCCAACATCCCAGCTGCGTGATGTTGGGCAAGGTATTTAACAACTCTTCCCCACCTCGTTTGTTCCTCTGTAAAATGGGACTTATAACTACAATCATTTCACATTGTTGAACTGAACAGTAAGTTAATCCCCTCTTCATCTCGCGGTTATAAGCATTGTGTGTTAGCTCTTATGCTATTATTATGATAAAGATTCTGCTTTCTTATGATCACACGAGCACAAGCCCTCCTCAAATAGGAAAATCCTGACTGGGGCGCCTGGGTGGCTCCACTGGTTAAGCGACTGCCTTCGGCTCAGGTCATGATCCTGGAGTCCCTGGATCGAGTCCCTGGATCGAGTCCCTGGATTGAGTCCTGCATCGGGCTCTGAGTCTGCTTCTCCCTCTGACCCTCCCCCGCTCATATGCTTTCTCTCTCTCAAATAAATAAATAAAATCTTAAAAAAAAAAAAAAAAGGAAAAGAAAAATCCTGACTACAGATGAAAGCTTGGCTTCAAACCTGCTTTTATACCAGGCTTTTCTTTATACAGTGAAGAGATGTGGAAGACTTTCTCTCCTGTTAGAGGCATGTGCAAGTATTAAAGCACCTGGAGTTGAGCATCTTAAGGAAGTAAGTCCTTCTACAAAGGAAGATCACAATGACATAATTCTCCTTTCTAATGTAACTGAAAACGGCCCTCTGTTTAGGCTGCCAACGCTCCACTCCTCCCGGGTAAGAGATGCAGATCACCTTCAAATGAGTAAGAGATTAAAAAGGAGAGGGAGAGGAGAGAGATACGGAGGTCTTTCAACTGGGGACCTATTTTCCATGAAGCTACACTGGTAGATGAATTAAAGATGTCACAGCCAACAGGAACATGGAAAGACAGACTAATGCTATACATTGGGTTGATTCAGGAGAGCAGCACAGGGGGTAGCGAATTGGTCATTTCATTTATCAACCGCTCACAATATATCAAAGAAGAAACACATGAGAAACAAAAGGGGAAAAAACACCATTTTCTTTGTCCTTCACACTTACTCTTTTCAAAGATCGTTTCCATGTTTGACCCTTGTCATACCTTCAAAGCCCTTCGCAGCATCTAAGGAGTAAAAGCTGATGACTGTGCTTCCTATTTTACTGAGAACATTTAAGCAAACCAAAAAAACAACACAACCCACATACTCAAAACAAACACATAAAAAACCACTTCTCCGTGCTCCCACCCCATCAACCAGCTTCTTGCCAGTGTGGTCACGCACTCCACCCCTCCTTCCATCCCTGTGGATGAGGCTGCCTCGCTCGGTCTAAGGACGACCCTTCCGTCCGTCCGTGTACCGGGTCCCATCCCTTTCCTCCACAAGGACATCACTCCAGCAATTCTATCCGCCCCGTCCTGCACCTGTTCTTTTCTTCTGGATCACACTAATCAGCAACCTGGCTGTTTCTGCTCTCCTAAAACAGAAGCACAACCAACATGAACGCTTCTCTTTACCACCTCACCCTCAAGCTATTATCCCACCTCTCTGTTCCTTGTTACGGGGGCGCCTGGGTGGCTCGGTCGTCGGCTGGGCATCTGCCTTCGGCTCAGGTCATGATCTCCGGGTCCTGGGATCGAACTCCGTATCCAGCTCCCGCTCCGCGGGAAGCCTGCTTCTCCCTCTTCCACTCCCCCTGCTTGTGTTCCTGCTCTCACAATCTTTCTCTGTCAAATAAATAAAACCTTAAAAAAAAAAAAAATCTATTCTCTGTTCCTTTTTACAGCAAAATTCCTCAAAAGAAATAAATCTGCTTATTGTCTCCAACTCTTGTCTTCCCAAGTTTCTGGAACATCCTCCAACCTAATATTCATCCTCATAACTCTGCCAAAACTGCTCCTGTTGGAAACCCACAAGCCCCTAAGCCATCTGCCTCCTGGTTTCCACGCTGAGTCCTCTCCTGGCTCTCCTACTGAGCACATACCAGTCATCTTGGCCTTGCTGCTGCTTTGCAAACCAGCCAGGTCACCCCCACTTCAGGATCTTTGTGCTTGCAGTCTCCCCTGGCTGAAGTGCTATCCCCTCTAGAGTTTCAAGGCTCCCTCCCTCGTCTTCCTCACATCTTTGGCCACCCTGCTTCACACTGTAACACGCCTGCACCCCGGCTGACCCGCGCCTACAACACTCCTGTCCTTTCCTGCTTTATTTTTCTCCACAGACTGTCAGCCCCTAAAGGACCGGGATTTTTGTTTATTTCATTGCTGTTTCCCTAGTACCTGGCACACAGTAGGTGCTCAAAGCTAGAACGGATGTCCCTATTTGCAACCTATGGACTCCTAAATAACCTATGAAAACCGTGAAATTTTACTGCAAATGTTATTTGGTCTGTGTACATTCTTCCAGGGACAGAGTCTGCCGTTCACCAACTATGACGTGTGGGCCCAGAGTCTGCGTATTGGTGTGAGAGGAAACAGTATGAGAGCAGACTGAACATCGCCCTAGTAAATGTGACGGACCAGAACTCAAAACAAAGCAGCTATACAAGCAGAATAAGCAACAGTCACCTGAATTCAGAGGAAACAATGAGGTGAGGCAAAAGGATCCAGAAGATGGATGACTTTCTGTTTCATCAATTTTCTGACTGGTTTTCCAATTTCCATTCAGCAATTTGTAAACTCTCCATGTGTAAGGCACAGAGACAGTTGTTATAATAAAAAAGAAAAGTTATTTATAAATATAAAAAGAAATACCAAGGCTCCAGATGTCAACTCAAACATGTTCTCATGTTTAGTTCTAGGGGATGAGAGAAAACTGAATGGTACGGGAGTAGTTTCTTAAGTCAAGGAATAGACTGTCCACAGGAAATGTAATGTTAAAACCACTAAAGAGGGACAGAAGGAGAGAAAAATGGGATGTACAGCCGAAAGAGTGAAGTTCACAGCTCTGGGAAGGGGAAGAAGGTGAGCAAAAAAACACACGTTTATGTTAAATACAGTAACTCTCTATCCGTCTGTGTGACGTTGGGCCAGTTATTTAACAACCATAAAGACTGGTGTCTTTATAAGACGAGATCAGGACACAGAGGTATCAGGGATGCGCATGCAGGGAGAAGACCACACGAGGACAGAGAAGATGGCCATCTGCAAGCCGAGGAGAGATCTCAGAAGAAACCAGACCTGGCACTTTGATCTTGGACTTCTAGCCTCCAGAACCGTGAGGAAATAAATTCGCTGTTTGGAGCACGCAGTCTGTGGCATTTCATCACGGCAGTGCCAGCACCTCATGCCATCCTCCAATCCCCACCCTCCTTACACTCAAAGCCTCAACCCCCAGCCAGTGAACTCCTGTTAAAACAAGAGGTTCTTCTCCACGCCTTCAGTGGCTTCCCCTCCCCCGCTCCTCCCCTTCAGCCCCCACGATGGCCCAAAAGGCCTCACAAGGGCTGCTGTCACCCCGACCACTGCTGCTCCAATCTGCTCTTCCCTGTTCTCTCTGCATGGTGCGACCCGCAGTGGCCTCCGGGCTGTCCTCCCCCACACCCCCTTAGGGCCTCTGCCCTTCCTTTCTTGGGTCTCCAGCCTTCTCCCCCCAGGGGAGTGTACAGCTCTCTCTTCAAAGGTCACTTCTCAAGGGCACCTCTCCCGACTGCCATATTTAGGACTGTGAACTGCCCCCCCAACGCCCCAGCGTTCCCTACCCGCTTTTCTGCTTGGCTTTTCTCCACGGCATTTACCACCTTCTGATACACGGTGTAACTGGTTTGTTTATGGTCTGAAACATGGCAGGGATATTTACCTGTCTTGTGTGCTGCTCTTTCTCTAGTACACAGAGCAGTGCCAGGCAGAGTCAGGGCTTACTGAGCAACTGCCGAGCGCATGAGTAAATCCTTACCGTAATTCTACTTGTGTCCCTATGGTGAAGGAAAAGGGCCGAATGCCGGAAGACACAGGAGCTACTCTGATGGGGCATGGTCTAGGAGAGAGAAGGCACACTTGTAGAGAAACCGTAGCTTACCTAGAAGCTAACTAGAAGGAAAACGGCGTTTACTTCCTGCTCCCGAGAATCTGATTTCTTAAGGAAGAGAGCGTTCTGTAAAACACAAGGATAAGAAAAGCATAAGTAGTTATAAATAAGCAGACTTAGCACTGGATCATTTCACTCGAAGAACCTGAAAATGGGTAAACTAGGTTCCTTAAAAGAGCAGTTGGGTTTTCTTATACAATCCCTTAAATTCAGTTCTGAGGAGGTTAACATAGCCCTAAACCATCCCATATAACTCTACAGAAAGGGGCCAACAAAGAATCTGAAAACCATCTGCACAATCTACAGCCTCCGAGGGACTGTAACAACATCCAAGGCAGAGCCCCAGCCCTCACTCTCAGCGGAAGATGGCGCACGCTCCGGGTCACCCTCCCTGCAGGAGCTCAGGGGCCTTCACCTACAGGGCAATCAGGACCACAAAAGCCTCTTGTGCTCTAACAAAACCACTACTTGACCTTCAGCACCCTTCCTTCCCTGGAGGGCAGGCAATCATCACATTTCTGGTTATTCAAAATTTACCACGGCCTAAGGGGATTTCTATTTCAGCCAGAAACAACTCAGGAGGGGTCAATTAGGGGC